TCCAATTGTCACAAGGTCTAAAATCTTTCTGCAATCTCTATGGAGTGCGAACGTGGATTGGGATGACGCACTGCCAGAGCCCATTCTTTCGTCATGGGGGGAGTTGACCTCACAGTTAGCGGTCGTACAGAACTTAAAATTTCCACGATTTGTGCTACAGCCAAGGGCTTCCGTTGAGTTGCATGGATTCTGCGATGCTAGCATATCAGCTTATGGAGCGTGTTTATACTTGCGATCAGAGACCAATGGAGAATTGAAAGTCCATCTCCTCTGTGCCAAGTCGAGAGAAGCTCCATTGAAGGCCGTAACAATTCCAAGATTAGAGCTTTCTGCAGCGCTTTTATTGGCTGAGCTAATCGTAAACGTCAAGGAAACCATAGATTTTGATTGCGCCTTTCATTGTTGGTCGGACTCGTCTATTGTGTTAGCGTGGATTCGGCAACCTCCGAGGGAGTTTAACGTTTTCGTATCGAACAGAATCGCGAAAATTCAGGAGATGACGAAAGAAATGACTTGGCATCACGTTCCTACAGCCTTAAACCCGGCTGACGTCGTATCGCAAGGATGTACCCCGAGAGAATTGCTGGAGCATTCCCTTTGGGCTAACGGGCCTCCATTCCTCCTGCAAAGTTCGTCGAATTGGCCGTCCCTGCTGGATGTAGTAAAGGATCTTCCAGAGCGCCGTTCTGCGACTCTAATTGGGACCGTTTGCATGGACAGTTCTTCAAACTGCAAATACCTGAACTCCTTTGACAAGTTGCAGCGAGTATTTGCATACATTTATCGATTCATTTCAAATTGCAGAGCCAAATGTGCGCCGTTAAAAGGACGTATTTCGGTGGAGGAGATCAACTCTGGAACTGTACTTCTTTTGAGGAGCATCCAACAGGTTAACTTGGCGAAGGAGTATGGATTTCTTAGCCAGGGCAAGCCTTGTCCACAGAAAAGCAAGCTGATTTCGCTTAGGCCTATAATCGGATCCGACGGGTTACTTCGAGTTGGTGGAAGACTTCAGAACGCAAACTTGGGCTACGATACGATGCATCCGATACTGTTGCCCAAGGATCATCCAGTCACCAAAGCAATCATCGTTTATTATCATGGAAAATATTTGCATGCAGGATCACAGGCGTTGCTGGCTGCATTACGGCAAAGGTTCTGGCCGATTGGAGGCCGCAAGTTCGTCGCCAGCGTCATCAACAAATGCGTCCGATGTTTCCGAATGACCCCTGTGACTTGGGAGCACGTCATGGGTAGCCTGCCGGCAAATCGAGTGCAGCCTAATCCAGCTTTTCATACAACAGGCCATTCTATCATAGAGCAGAGACCAGGAATAAGGCACCTCACAAGTGCTACATCGCTGTTTTTGCTGCTTTTCCACGAAGGCCGCTCATTTGGAAGTGGTTCAGGATCTCACGACGGATTCTTTCATCGCAGCGCTGAGGAGATTCATCAGCCTTCGAGGCAGTCCGCGTACCATTTGGAGTGACAATGCTACGAACTTTGTCGGTGCAAAGAGCGAGCTTGCCGAGCTGAAGGAGCTTTTTTTGAGCGAGCAAGACACGGCATCGATATCTTCGGCCTGTTTAGCTGATGGGATCGATTGGGATCATCCCTCCGCGTGCCCCGCACTTCGGTGGTTTATGGGAGGCCGCTGTGAAGTCGGCCAAATATCACTTCTACAGAGTCGTCGGCGCATCCGTCTTAGCCATCGATGAACTAAGAACTCTTGCCTATGAGATTTCTGCCATCCTTAACTCCCGTCCACTCTGTCCAATTTCAGAAAAGGCTGAGAGCCTTGATGTGCTAACGCCTGCGCATTTCCTGAAGGGTTCCAGCTTCACAAAATTTCCTGAGCCTGACATCACTCATCTTCGCGAAAGCCGCCTCAGCAGATGGCAACGGGTGACCCAGATGCAACAACACTTCTGGAAAAAATGGAGCAGCGAATATTTGTCCCTTCTTCAAGAAAGGGGCAAGTGGCGCGTCGAAACGTCCAACATCAAGGTTGGAAGCATAGTGGTGCTGAAGGATGACAACATTCCCCCATTGAAATGGCAGCTTGGGCGCATCGAGGACGTCGGCGGAGACGGCGTCATCAGAGTAGCTATGGTCCGTACCGCTACGGGTCTTATCAAGAGAGCCGTCGCCAAACTAGCCGCTCTGCCCATCGATTCCGAGATGGTTGGATAGGTGCATAGGTGTACCGCTGCACCTGCAGCGCTCTTATGTTTTCTCTTTGCTACTCTTTTCTTATCTCGCTAAAGCTGTCGCCTTATCTATCAGCAAAACTACATTTGTTATCCCATAAACATGTATATATATTGAACATGTATATATATTTTTATACACACAGTCTGCAGCTCCGATGAAACACAAACATTAAACACGGCTTATACTAAAATACTATAGTGCGTTTTATTATAAACTAAAGGGTGGCATATTCGTTGTCTTCCCCACAAACACCACATAAGTAAAAATAACGCTAAAAAGTTTATTTAATTACTAAAATTGTATTAGAAGGAAGCATAAAAATCATGCGCAGAATGAGATTTTCATCCTATTTATGATAAAAATGATAATATTGCCAGATGCTACACAAAAGGTAAATTGAGACGGGCAAAACGGCTGACATACGCAAGAGTTTTCCAATACTTTTTATCGAACATTTCCAGTACTAAGCCGAAAACAGATGATTGAAATTTTAAATATTTCAAATTAACATTTTACGGCCAAGAATGCTTCTTCCTTTAAGGTTATGTAATGAACTAGCAACCCATCAACTTACTTAGGATGGACGCGGGCCAAAATCGAATTAGCCCCCTATTAACAAAACTCAGGCAAAACAATCGAGATTGTCTATACCGGCCAGCTGATATTCCTTGGGAACAAAAAGGAAAAGGAAAATTTAATCAAAAATCCCAAAATCAACATGGAAAATTCGCTTATTTTAAAGGTAAATCCGCAAATGTTATCAAATGCACTTCCGAGTGGAAACTAGAACAGGCCTGATTTTTTGCAATAAAAAAATCACCTTATACACTTAAAAGAAAAGTCAAGCGAGGGCGGAACCACGCCCATTTTTCCAAAAACATTAATTAATACCATAACAAGAAAGAAAGCAAATTTCGGCACACATAACAGAGTTTCATTGAATTATACTAATACTGATTATGTTTACAGTTTGACAGTTACAGTTTTATATTCCCAGCTTTACATTTTCTCTACATCTACCGATCGCTCCTATGGCAGCTATATGATATAGTTGTCCAACTATTATGAAATGTATACCAAAATTCTAAAATAATAAAAAAAGCTCATTTCTCAGAGTATATGAAATTACTCAGAATATATGTTTCTACTGTGACGACGCGGCTGGTCGTCACAAACCTTGTAAATACTTATCATTTAAATAATACTATACCTTATCTTAAGCTTAGAAATAATTTTAAACTAAGTACACACACACACACGCACACATCACCCGGCATGGCAAGTTGTGTTTTTTACGCGCTCCGCTGGTCTATCCCTTGAAGACGGTTAAAAGTGCCAGACATCCTGGAAAGGTGTGCAAGTGTAGTGCGAGACTCTTAGGGTCATAGTTACGTACCCGGATCGTGCCTGGATTTCGGCTTTCACTGGGCTCCAGACGCCCAGGGGTCCCGGCAGCCAGCCCGCCGCAGGAGCTTGGAGGTAAGGGGAGGGGGAATCTCTCACCTCTGTTCCTAGCAAAACGCCTTCCACTTTCACTACTCTCTCGCGGTTTCCACTTTCCACGAGCCATTTTTCCCCCGCGTTTTCTTTTGGCACACACACACAGCTGATCGCAGCTGATCGTAGTGTTGCGTAACGCCAACGCAGGAGCTTCTACAGCCGCGCTTAACAGCACGACACATTTAGTGTTGGAAAGCGCTCGCGGCAAAGCTTCCCGCCCTACCTCTAGTTACATATAAATCAAAATAAATAAATAATTAAATAATTAATTTTATAATTTTATTAGTTTGATTAGCCTGATTGGTTTAACGGATTTGACTGGTTTGGCTGACTTAATTGATTGATCTGATTGGGTTAATTGACCTAATTAATTAATGATCTAATTAAGCGGATTGATCTGACTGGTTTGATTAATTTAATTGATTTAGTTGACTTAATTGACTAATTGCTTGGTTTGATTTAATTGATTTGATTTGTTTGGGCAATTCGATTAATTTAATTAATTAATTTAATTTAATTGACCGAGTTGATTTGATCGATTTTATTGAGCTGGCTAATTGGCTTGATTCAAGTAGTTTAATTGATTTAATTAAGTTAAATTTGTTTGATTGCACTGCAGTACCATTCATCAACATTTCATCAACGTTTCATCAATAGCCGAAGCGTTTTGTTGATGATTCATCGATGAATTGCCATACAAATTACTGATGAATTTAACATGGGCATGTCATAGGCTGTCATCAACAGCAATTCATCAACATTTAAGCATCATTTCATCGATGAATTATTGATGAAATACTGTAGAAAGGCTGATGAAATGTTGATGAAATACTGATGAATTACTGATGAAATACTGATGAAAGGCTGATGAAATGTTGATGAAATACTGATGAAAGGCTGATGAATCATCAGTATTTCATCAACATTTCATCAGCCTTTTATCAGTATTTCATCAGTATTTCATCAGTATTTCATCAACATTTCATCAATAATTCATCAGCCTTTCATCAGTATTTCATCAGTATTTCATCAGCCTTTCATCAGTATTTCATCAACAAATCATCAACATTTCATCAGTATTTCATCAACATTTCATCAGCCTTTCATCAGTATTTCATCAGTATTTCATCAGTAATTCATCAGTATTTCATCAGCCTTTCATCCGTATTTCATCAATAATTCCGCCTTTTAATAATTTAATTCAAATATAATAGAAAAATTCATAAAATTTTATTGTTATTTTTTATTGTATACTAAATTTAAAACACAAATATAAACAATTAACATTAATCATGATGAATGAATTGAAAAGCCTCAAGGTTTGCTTGCTCCTCGGCTTTCCGCTTTTTATTCGCAGAGTTTAAGTTTTTGGCGCACAGAAGTACCTTTCCAAGTATCTTCTCTGGAAGTTCACTTTCATCTACTTGGACGATCGCATCTACAGAAAAAATAACAATTAATTAAAGGAAACAATAATTAAATTAAATAAAAATTACCCAAAAGAGCTGAATAAAACCGATCGTGGTCTTTAAGCCTTTTTTGGTTTTTCGTCCCTTCAATGTTATATTCCAGGAGGATGTCTCCGCCTAAGACATCCCTAATAGTTTTAGATATTTTCCCTCTTTTTAATATGTTGGCAACTACTGCAGTCTGAAAAGAAAAAATATAAACATAATATATAAATATATTATATAAATTAAATAATGTAATAAATATAGGCCTTTTTCCAGTTGAATCTGGAACTTTCCTAAATATATAGCTTTTAAGGTAAGATATACTTACGAGTTTTACTCTGGTTTCCTCGTCTAGAAGGAGATTTGTTTTTGACAGATCTTCCTCCGTCATAATTGGAAACTCCATGTCCTTAAACACTTTCTCCTTTTCGGCTTCTTTATATGCCCCTTTGACCAATCCCGTCAGAGCACCGACGGAATCTGTAAGCACAGATGTTATCGCCTTCAGTTCATTAACGGAGCTCTGGAGACCTATGTAAATGTAAAAATGTATTTATTCAATTATTTTATATAAACTTCCGAAAATACGTACCATCAAGTTTAGCCATTATTAGCTCGGTCTCAGTTTTGCCTGTAAAACTCAATTTTTATAAGCGGCTACAAAATAAAGACACGATAGGTCTTAAATTAGAATACAGAAAATAATAAACAAGGAATAACAAAAAAAAAAATACAAATTATAAATAAGAAATTTAAAAAATGAATTAATTCTAATTATAAAGAATGATAAGTAAAAAACCTACCTAGGGCCAATTTTTTTTTTTTTTTTTGTTTTTAAACCGGGTAGGTGAGTCTTCTAAAGATATATAGAACGATTTCGCTCTATATATGCCCGATTCGTCCTATAAGACGCCTACGGACTAAACACCCCCCATTAAAACAAAACAAAATCCTAATAATAATGTAAAAACGGTATTAAAACTATCATATTATTATGAGGAATTCCAATTGCTTTTCTGCTAAACTCTACTACTGAAAATTTTTCTAACATGGAATCCTCTTCTAAAATACCCTCGCATATACCCACATCAAATGAACTAATCATAGAAACTAACGAGTTCCGAAAATCTTTTCCTACTGTTTAGGAGTGGGGTGGCTGGTAAATCCTCCGCAAAAGGATCAATAAAAGTTTATCCCACGAAGTAGAAAAACGCAGAAAATTCGGGGGTCGAAAAATGACATCGGCGGAGTGCCCGTAGCATACATATATTTTCGCATTCAATTTGGAACTAAACTTAGCTTTGCCTAAGGGCCCGCTGCCGGCCGAGAAGCCCAGCTTAACGGCGCGAGAACGGGAGAGCGGGAGAACAGTGAACTAGAGCGGCGTAGCCGTCCCTAGAAGCGAGCGACGATCGGGAACACGGGAGCGTGCGATCGGTAATACCGAGGAGCGGAGAGCGGGAGAGCGTTGCTTAGCTGGGAGCGCTTAAGCTTTTGAACGCTCGGTGGGCAGAGGGGGAACAGGGGCCTCCTGGCGTAAACACCTACAATAAAAATATCTCCTTCCTGTTCTTCAAATGAATATATTTTAATAGGAACTATATCCTGCACAAAACAAAAATTATCGGTACTTTTCCCGCTAAGAATGCAACCTTTCATTTTCAAAACCCTGCCTTCTAACTTAATACTTCTATTCTGAGTAACTTCTAATTTTTCCTCGCTAATTTTGTTACGACCTGAGTTTTTTTGATGGGGCAAGGCCGGCTAGCCAGTCTCTCCTCTCAGGGGGGATTTCTCCCCATTTGCCCGCAGGTCGCACCATAAATCCCAGCTGATCTGGAATCCGCAAAACAAATAAAAAAAAACAATAAGGACCGACAAGAAAGGTAAACAAATTACATTACTCTACAACAATTACTGCTTACTTCATCTTTCTCTTTTCTCTCGGAGTGTAGGCTAGGGCTTGGCTGGAATCACCCTGGACGCCCCTCCCTTCCAGAGATCCGGACTCTCATCTTCTGCGGATCTCCCCTTGGCAGGCGGACTTCGCCGGCCTACTCCTGACTACGGTCCAGTCATCCTTTTTCCCCCCCAACATTTATAAACATTATAAACAATTTTAATTTCCTAGATTATCATACATATTTAACTTTGACATATGACTAATTAACAAACTTTCATTTTTATCTTTTCAGAACATCACCTGGGCAAAAACAATACCAGAAAATATGGAAATTGAACAAACGACGATGAAGACAGTAGCGCGGCGAACAACGGAGAAGACAACGATTTTTTTGCACAGGTATGAATGGATATCAATGTATATAATTATTTAAAGGTACCCTCATTCATTTCAGCTGCATCCTACCTACTTGGAGCTCCAAATTAGGGGAAGGGACTGAGACGGGACGTTCGAAATGGTTTAATCTTCACACTTATACCCCTACACTACAACCGGCCTTCTGCAGCGCAGCCGCATCCAAGATCTTTCGATTTAAGCTTTAATTTACGTTAAATTTTCTGCAACTGTTTATGTTCACGGATGTAATTATTAATTATTATTTCGGTGCCTTCGGTTTAAATTCTACGTGCTATTAATTTTTAGATTTCCTGTATTTGGCGTTTTGTATTGCCAAATAAGCGTATAAATATATTCACACAATCTTACGCAAAACAAATAAACAATATAAATTTGCACGGGCACTTCAGAATAAATAACATGGATTTACATTTAATAAATAAATAAATAAATATGTACGAATAAATTAAATAAATAAATAAATATGGCGGAATTAAATAAATAAATAAATAAATATGGCGGAATTAAATAAATAAATAAATAATTTAGCCTATTGTTCACCGCATCAATAAATAAATTAAGTAATATCCGGCCGTGGATTCTTTTGGGGCTTCCTTTGTCCCGGCTGAGACGGTGGCACCTCGGCCTTTGAGGCCCAGTATTTGGGACCCTTCCGACTTTGGGGTTGGGCCGATTTTTTTCTTAGTTACTCCCGCCCAGAATTTTCACCTCCAGAAGGCACAGGACCCTGTGAACGTGCCTTGGTTATTTTAATTTTAGTTCCGTTTGGAACGGACTCACTTTCTTTTCCTTCCTGGCCGTATCCCTTCTTCTCTTTTCTGGTTTCTCGTGACCGGCTCCTGGTCACGCTTGTGGCTTCCCGGATCCGTTTATCTTCCTTTCTACTTCCTGGCTTTTTTTCCCGCACTCCCGTCCGAAATATATATATCTTTTTTCCACCTTCCCGTACTGTTTTCGGTTTTTTTTGGTTTTATTTTCGGGTTTTTTCGGGTTTTTGCGGTTTTTTTCTCGGTCGAAAGGTTTTAGGTTTGATTTCGGCTCCGTTTTTCCTACTGGCCGCCATTAGCGGTCGCCTTGCCCTATATAGGCTCGGTTCCCACCAATTCCTTCACCCACTTTTCTTGCCTCTCTCTCCCGGGGTCGAGAACCGCTTTCAAGGCCAGTACTCTTCGGTGCCTTGGTGTGGGTGCAGCTAGCCTCTTTCGCGATCGGCACATACTTCCCACACTTCCCCTTCGGTGTGGATCGCATGAGGCGCTCGAGATGCGATCCACTTCCCCTCTTCCTGGCCCTGCCAACCTATCCTCGGTGCGCATCCCAGACGATATTTGTTTCGCCTGCGGCTATCGATTACCGACCGAATGCAACACCACGCGAAAATTTGCCAATCGCAGAGGACGCTAATATTCGCGAGCATTCCAACAAAGAAAGTAAACAAACAGAAAAACAAAAAAACGCAATCCTCCTTCACCCGTTCAGTGGTGTCCCACCGTCGGCGGGTCCTTGCCCCATGAATTCCGGGCTGCCCCAACGTAGGCCACACCCACGGTATGTACCCTGCTTCCTACCTACACCTACCTATAAGCGTGTCGTCTTCCCTTTACAGCCGCAAGTCTTTCGCATGGTAGATGCCAATAGGCTTCCCCGCCAGGTTCTCCAGCTTGAACATATTGTTCCCTACGGGCTTCACGACTCGGCACCTGACGAATTTCCGGGCGAACTTGGCGTTGTAGTTCTTCCCGAAATCGCTCAGGGTGAAATTCCGTCGGAAAACTTCCTGGCCTGGTTTGACGTTGAAGTCCCGTGCGCGCTTGTTGTACTGCCGGCTGCTCCGCTCGTACGCCTGATGCAGATGTTGCTTGATCCGGTCGCGTATAATGTTGCGCTTGTCCTGGCAGCTTAATGTGGCCACTTCGTGGTCCGTCATAGACTGCAGCTTCCTGGCCAACTTGTAGCAGCTGCCGTGCAGGTACATGTGCTGCCCGAACACTGCGAAGAAAGGAGTCACGCCCGTCGCCTCGTGCACCGCATTCCGGATTGCGACCTCGATCTCCGGCAGAAATGCGTCCCAGTCACGATGGTCTCCCTCGAGATAAGTCCGAATCGCGGCCAGCACCGTCCGGTTGACCCTCTCTGCAGCGTTACTTTGCGGGGAATACACCGCCGTCCGCATATGTTGTACCCCATATGCCTCCATCATATCCTGGAACGCCTTCGAGACGAACTGCTTCCCATTGTCGGAGTGTATCACTTCCGGTACGCCAAACTTAAAGAAGACTTCGTGCACCAGGAACTCGACGACGCTGGTGGCTGTGGCTTCCTTCATTGCCTTTAGGAAGGTGAACTTCGAGAAGTGATCCACGACCACAAATATCCAGGCTTTCCCTCGTTTCGACCGTGGATATTTGCCCAGGAAATCGATGTACAATTTCTGGAATGGCCTTTCCGTTACCACTTCCTGCCCTATCCCGACCTGCGTGCGATAATTCGGGGCCTTCGCCTCCTTGCACTGAATGCATTGTCCCACGAAGTCTCGAACTTGCGTCGTCATCCCTGGCCAGTAATACTGCCGTTGGAGTTTCTGCAGGGTCTTTTTTACTCCTCCGTGTCCTGACGTCGGTTCCTCGTGAGCCGTCGCGACCATCCCGGCTGTCAGCGATGCCGGAATCCACAGTTTCCATGGTCCACCCTCGACTTCATCTTCCAATCTCCAAAATCCGAGGCGTTTAAAGATGAGGTCGCCTTCCACGCGAACGTCCGGTAGGCGAGCCTGGTTTTCCCGTATCTCATCTCGTATCTCTTTATATTCGGCAGATTGGAACTCCGTCGTGGCAAATCCCAGGGTGTCGTCGGCATCCAGCTTCAGCTCCTCCACGCTTCTGGACAGCGTATCGGCCACCACGTTGTCGGCTCCCTTCCGGTGCGAAATTTCGAAATCGAAGCCTTGCAGCCTGAGGGACCATCGTGCCAGGCGTCCGCTGAGGTCCTTCATGTTCATCAGCCACTTCAGACTCGCATGGTCGGTGATTACCGTGAACGGCATCAGTTCCACATATGGCCGGAATCTCTCTATGGCAAGTACTGCTGCCAAGCACTCCTTCTCTGTCACCGAATAATTTATCTGATGTTTGTTCAGCTTTGCAGAGAAGAAGGCTATCGGACGCTCGTTCTTGTCCTCGTCATATTGGAACAGGACTGCTCCCACCCCAAGATGCGACGCGTCGCACTGGACATAAAACGGCCGTTTAAAGTCAGCGTGGACCAGAACCGGGGCCGAGGTGAGTGCGT